TGGGGAATTCTGGGAGTTGAAGTCCACACGTCTTAAAGTGCCCAAGGTTGAGAAACACTGCCACAGAGCAAGAGGTAAACTTATAACTGCCGTAAAGATGATTGGCAGCTACTTCTTTGTGTCTTCTTTCTTTTCTATTTTTCTTTTACTTTCTCCCCATTTCTTGCACTTTTAGCTTTCTCTTCGATTTTCAATTAGTTTTTATTTTTTGTAAAAAAAAACTTTAATAAAGTTATATAGTTATATTAAAAAAAGAAATCAATGCCTGGGGTGAGAGTGAGTTCCTCTTCCAGGTAAGCGATCAAGCAGATGTCTATCAGAACTGCTTTAACTGGAGTTAAATCCCATTCAAGATTCAATTACCTGTGGGTATCTAAATCATTAGTAGCTCCAGTAATTTGTATATCTGACTGTGCCCTGGTGATCCTAGAATTGAAGCTAGAAAAGACTGCTTTTTAATATCTAATTCTGGTGGTTGGATCCAATATTACTGACTATTCAGTCAGTGAAAAAACATCTGTTTCACTCTTTATCTTTTTTCAAAGAAAATAATGTAAAATGAGCATCCCTACTGATAAGGGGAAAAGCAATGAAAGAAACAATGAGGGGGAAAGTATTACTTAGAGGAGCATAATTAAAAAGCAAAAAATAAAAGTCGCATTATCAGACATTTGGAAATTAAAGATTAATTAGGGGAATGTAATAAAACAGGCCCCTTAAAGGCTTATGCACAGCCAGAATTGAAAAGAATGGGATATCCTAGAGACTAATAAAATTTCAGCATAGCTTCTACATTGAAAGCAAAAATGTTAAGAGCTTGACAATAAGACCTTTACATTATTAGCCCATGAATTAAAAAATAAAACAGGGAAAAGCAATTTATAAAATTTAACCAGGATTCCACTGATGAAATGGACTTAAGGGTCTCAAGTGACTCAAAAAAAAAAAGATTGCCTTATGCAAAATCAAATCTTTGTTCCACTGAATGTGCCCTTTTCCGATTTGGTACCTGCCAAATGCATTGTGCTTATGGCTTCCAGCATATCTCAGCTATCAGGGCTCACACTGGGTGGAGATTTTTTAAACTGGGTTCCGCGGAACCCTGCTGTTCCATGAGAGACCGGGCAAAAACCACAGCAATTTCTCTAAGGAAAAGCAATCACAACCCAGTTGTTGAACCCTGACTCGTTGGGTTAAAACGTTAACCTCCGCAATGCGTGGTTTGCTTTTTGAATTTATAGTAAGTGGAGGAACTTTCTGGACAGTAATTGGGGCATCGGTTTTTGTGAAATTCAAATAACTGTGATGTATAAATTTGCATTAAGAAATTACAACAAGCATGGGTTTGCCAGTTTTCTATCACTAGAGCTATGCCTCTTGATCAGGGGTTCCGACAGACAGACAGATAAACAGACAGACATTTAACTAACAGGTTCCACAGTCTGAAAAAAACCTGGAAGTCCTTGCTCTAAAGCAGCGTTTCTCAATCTCAACAATTTTAAGATGTGTGGACTTCAACCTCAACAACTTTTATATGGACTTCAACTCCTAGATTTCTGGGAGTTGAAATCCACAAATCTTAAAGTTGCTGAGGTTG